TTGATTGACATAACTTGACATGATAGCCAATGAAGTTGATTGACATGATAGCCAATGAAGTTATTGACATAACTTGGTATAACTATAGCCAATGAAGTTGATTGACATAACTATAACTGATGAAGTTGATTGACATAACTATAGCCAATGAAGTTGATTGACATAGCTTCACATAACGAATGAAGTTGATTGACATGATAGCCAATGAAGTTGATTGACATAACTTCATATAACTATAGCCAATGAAGCTGGTTGACATAACTATAGCCAATGAAGTTGATTAACATAACTTGACATAATAGCCAATAAAGTTGATTGACATAACTTGACATAACAATAGCCAATGAAGTTGATTGACATAACTATAGCCAATGAAGTTGATTGACATAATTTGATATAACTATAGCCAATGAAGCTAGTTGACATAACTATAGCCAATGAAGTTGATTAACATAACTTGACATAACGAATGAAGTTGATTGACATGATAGCCAATGAAGTTGATTGACATAACTTGATATAACTATAGCCAATGAAGTTGATTAACATAACTTGACATAATAGCCAATGAAGTTGATTGGCATTACTTGACATAACGATAGCCAATGATGAAGTTGATTGACATAACTTGACATTGATAACCAATGAAGTTGATTGACATAACTTGACATAATAGCCAATGAAGTTGATTGATATAACTTGAATCTAAGAAAAAAGGAAAAAAAAGTGAAAATGGATGAATGAATGAGATGTTTTCAGTTGCAGGTAGTCCTTGACTTACAATAGTTCACTTAGTGACCATTTGAAGTTACAACGGCACTGAAAAAAGGGACTTATGACCATTTTTCACACTTAATGACCATTGCAGCCTCCCCGTGGTCATGTGATCAAAATTCAGACGCTTGGCAACTGAAATAGCTTCAATTGCATTGTCTGTGAAGCCAAACCCACAAGGTTGGCCACAGTGTGGATCCCATCAGACCTTACACTGAGGGTGGATCATTACACAAAAGCTTCTTAGAGGCTGGATTTCTTGACCATAAACCCTCTCAGGAGAAGCCTGACCGGGTGATCATCACCTTATAACAACTGAGGCACCAACTTTTCTGTCTGTCTCTCTCTCTCTCCATCCATCCATCTTGTGTAGCTTCCTGACAAGTTAATTCCCAGCCTGGTGAAATATTACTACTCTTGGAAGAAGACCAGAAGTCGGACAAGCGTGATGGATCGCCAAGCCCGCAAATTGCTCAGTAGGAAAGAAAAGGACGACAGGTAATCCACTAAAGGGATCTGTCTGCCATGGGGCGTAAGGAAGGAATGTGCTTGTTTTGGGGCGATCGGGAGAGCTTGGTAGGTGGTTATGTCACCCCCCCAAAAAAAGGTCTCCTGTAGCTCTTCAGGGCTGTGTGTGTGTGTGTGTGAGAGAGAGAGAGAGACAAAAGAAAAAGTGTGTGTGAGAGAGGGAGAAAGGGGAGAAAAAGAGAAAATGTGTGAGAGAGGGAGAAAGGGGAGAAAAAGAGAAAGTGTGTGTGAGAGAGGGAGAAAGGGGAGAAAAAGAGAAAAAGTGTGTGTGAGAGAGGAGAAACAGAGTGAGGGAGAGAGAATGAGAGAGAGAGGTAGAGAAATAGAGTGAGAAAGGAAGAGTGGAAGTGAGTGTGTGAGAAGAGGGAGATGAGAAAGTGAGAGAAAAATTGTGTGTGTGAGAGGGGTAGAAAAAGAGAGCGAGAAAGAGGAAGAGAGTGTGAAAACAAGAGAAAGTGAGAGTGAGAAAAATGTGAGAGAAAGGGGAGAGAAAGAGAAAAGGTGTCTGTGGGTGAGAGAGGAGAAAGAGGGAGAGAAGAGAGAAAGAAAGAGAAAGAAAGGGAGAGAGAGGGGGTAGAAAAAGTGAGAGAGTAAGAGTAAGCATGTGAGAAGAGTGAGAAGAGAAAGGGAGAGAAAGTGTGTGTGTGTGTGTGTGTGTGAGTGAGTGAGAGGGGAAGACACAGATGAAGAAACGGACCAACCACAGAGATGTGTTTTTATGGGACTTTGCATCTGGAAACTGGGAACAAACTAGGATTAAACCCCTGATTAGGTGGAAACAGGATCTAGGATAGGTAGGTCTGGGGTGGCTGGGAAAGACTCCACTCCAAGGTGCCGCATTTTCTTCCCCACAGCAACGATGAATTAGAAGACCCCCGGCAGGCCAGTGAAGGGGAATTCGATACCATGGATCCCAAGAAGGAGGTAAGGGACGAGGAAGGCTCCCTCGTGCAGACGGAGTCCAACCGGGTACTAATGACAGGAAGTCCTCGACTTATATAACCTTCCGTTTAACAGCGGTCGGAAAGGTACAATGGCATGGGAGAAAAATGGCTGTTTTTCACCAGCCTCGCAAGCATCTCCCGCCGTCACTGGATCAACATTCGGGCGTGTGGCAAACGACTCGTCTTTTATGACGGTCGCAGTGCCTCCCTTTTGCGGACCTCCCGATCATCGATGGGGGAAGCCAGATTCACTTAACAACCGGGGTTGCTCAATTAACGACGACAAACCCCTGCAGTGAGAACGGTCGTAAAACGGAGCGAAACTCGCTTCGCCAACGGTCTCACTCAAGCCACGGAATTTGGGTCGCAAAATCGAGGACTCCCGGTAACCGGATCAAGAGCCAGAGGTGTTCTGGGAAAGAGAAGCTCCGCCTGGCATCCTCGTCCTACGACATGGGAGATGGGGTGACCCTGGTTTTGAGAGCTGTTCAAGAAGCGCATGGAAGTTGACTTCCCCACAGCCTCCCGTTTCATCCCTTGCCCCCCCTCTCCCCCCCCCCCACCCTAGTTATCCGAAGCCCCCCAGCAGCAAACCTGGGCCCATGAAGAAGGAGGTGCAGCTGCCCCAATATCGCCATCATCCTCTCCGTGTTCGCCGGCGCCCCCCGAAGGGCATGTATCTGAGCCAAGAAGGTATCACGGGACTTTCCACCAGCCCTGACGTGGCCCTGCTCACCTTGCGCCACCTGGACTCCCAGCTGGTTTCGCTCAAACGCCAGGTACCCACTTCCAATCCAAAATCTTATATAATTTTTTTAAAAAAAATTGAATGGGGTTCCTTATTTTTTAAAAGGTGTGTTTGGCAGGTGAGGATTGCTGAAGTCACAGGGGGTGCAGAATAGAAGCCGAGTTTAAAGTGTTGACTTTCTTCCATTTGAAGTGGGGAATAGAATAGAAATAGGAACAGAAAATAGAATAGGAAATAGGAAAATAGAATGAAATAAAATTAGAATAGAATTAGAAATTAGAATAGAATAAGAAGTAGAGAATAAAATATAGAACAGAATTAGAAAGTAGAATAAAGTAGAGAATACAATATAGAATAGAATTAGAATAGAACTAGAAATTAGAACAGAATAAGTAAAGATTAGAATATAGAATACAATTAGAAATTAGAATAGAATAAGAAGTAGAGAATAAAATATAGAATAAAATTAGAATAGAATTAGAACAGAATAAGTAAAGATTAGAATATAGAATACAATTAGAAATTAGAATAGAATAAGTAGAGAATAAAATATAGAATAAAATTAGAAATTAGAATAGAATAAGAAGTAGAGAATAAAATATAGAATAGAATCGGAGGCAGATAATACAACAGAACGGAACGGAATGGAATCACAGAGTTGGAAGGGACCTTGGAGGTCTTCTAGTCCAACCCACTGCCTAGGCAGAAAACCCGGCACCACTTCAGACGATGGTTAATCCCAACATCTTTTTAAAAACTTCCAGTGTTGGAGCATTCACAACAACTTCTGGAGGCAAGGAGTTCCACGGGTTAATTGTTCTGTCAGGAAATGTCGCCCTAGTTCTAGGTTGTGGTAGTTTTATCTCCAGCTCCTTTTGGGTCTCCTCTTCCATCCTTTAAGCTTGCGGGGGTGGGGGTGGGGGTGGGGTGTTTCGCCCTCCCCCCGTTCTCAGACTCCCCATCCCTTCTGCGCCAGGTGCAGAGCATCAAACAGATCAACAGCAGCATGAAGCAGGCGCTTGGCGAGGGGATACACAAACTGCGTCCAACTGAGGTGAGCCAATGCGGGGAGCCCCAGGGAGGGAAGGACGTGAGCGCCCCAATTCATTCAGGGCAGGGGTGACAGGAGAGAGGTCCAACCTCGTGCCCCCCAAAATAGGTGGTAGGGCAACAGGTTGAAACGTCGTTTGGATTTATTTAAGAGTAAGGGAACCATTTTGGTCCAGCCAGGCCTAGGCTCCAGGCTAGGAACTAGGTGGGGGAGCTCTAGTCCCGCCTTTGACTGGGAGACGTTGAGCCAATCACCTGGAAACTCTAGTTCTAGTCCCGCCTTAAGGTGTGAAAACTGACTGGGAGATGTTGAGCCAATCACCAGCAGGCAGTGAGTTCTAGTCCCGCCTTAGGCGTGAAAGATGACTGGGAGACTTTGGGCCAATCACCAGGAGGCAGTGAGTTCTAGTCCCGCCTTAGGCGTGAAAACTGACTGGAAGATATTGAGCCAATCACCAGCAGGCAGTGAGTTCTAGTCCTGCCTTAGGCGTGAAAGATGACTGGGAGACTTTGGGCCAATCACCAGGAGGCAGTGAGTTCTAGTCCCGCCTTAGGTGTGAAAGATGACTGGGAGACTTTGGGCCAATCACCAAGAGGCAGTGAGTTCTAGTCCCGCATTAGGTGTGAAAACTGACTGGAAGATGTTGAGCCAATCAGGAGACTTGAGTTCTAGTCCCGCCTTAGGCATGAAAGCCGGCTGGGAGACTTTGGGCCAATACCCTAGTATTCTATCCACCTTGCAGGGCTGTTGTAGGGAGAGGAGGAAGGAGCATTAGACACGTTCACTGCTTTCAGTTACTTATAAAAACCATAAAGGCGGATGCAGAAATAAATGTGGAATCTGTAGGAGTTCAGTTCATTCCCTAGTATTTGTGTAACTGAATTGGGGGCAATATTTGGAGAGAGCAGCAGGAGGACCCCCTGAAGGATTTTGGGGGGAGGGGGCAGTGCCTTCCTGGTTTTGGGGTTCCAAAGTGCTCTGCGGGGGGGGGGTGTCAAAAAGGGTGTTCCCCCCCGAGATTCAATTCAAACTGGTAAATTTTGCAGACTAACATCAAGTTCAACTCCCGCTGGACGACCGATGAGCAGCTGCTGGCAGTGCAGGGTGAGTTTCGCCCACTTGCACCAGAAGGGTGGGCCGCAGAGAAATCTAACCCCAGAGCAACCCCCCACCAAAAGCAATTAATCCAGGCTGTGCAGGAACACAAGGCTGCGCCGCCCACATGGCCAGCGGGAAGCCTCCCCGCCCACTCACTCCTTACCTGGCAAACTTGCCTGCTAAATTGCTATTTTGTCTTTTTCCAACCATCATCTGTTCTGCTGTGCCGGGAGATTTAGATTAGCTAGGAAGGAGGAAGCGGTTGGATTTCTTGCTTTCTAGCGAGTCTTTAGATCTTCGGCTCTGCTTTTAAGCACAGCCGAACCTCCCTTAGGACTGAAGGTTCTGTTATTCAGTGCAGACTCACGGCAAGTCAATTTTATGTGACAGACTGAGCTAGCCGATGGCAGATAGATAGATCACTGAATGATTCTGTGAGCAACTCAACCTGCCTGATTTTGAGTAAAAGTTGCTTTTTTATATATAAAAAAAATCAATATTTATATAAATATTTACATACAAGCCATGCCCACCCAGTCACATGACCACCAAGCCACATCCACAAATTAGGCCACACCTACAAAACCAGTAAGCGGTTCCTGGGATTTAAAATTATATGAGTTTGGTGGTCCCTGAGGTCCAAAAGGTTGGCGACCCCTGTTCTAGGGCCACCATGTGGAATGGGTGGGAGACCCCCCCACCACCACCACCCAGGATAAATAAGCAGTTTCCCCCTGGGGGCACCAGGGAGCCTTTGTCCCGAGTTCTGACGGCTTCGACGCAAGAGACGGGGGTAGCCCCGTTCTTGCTGGCCATGTGGCGCTATGCAGGGCGTCCTGTTCAACCTTGGCTTTTCTCCCCCTCCCCACCCCTTTCCTGCGGCAGCCATCCGGAAATACGGCAAAGACTTCCAAGCCATCGCTGAAGTGATCAGCAACAAGACGGTGGCGCAGGTGAAAACCTTCTTCGTCAGCTACCGCCGGCGGTTTAACTTGGAGGAGGTGCTGCAGGAGTGGGAGGCGGAGCAGGAAGGCCTGAGTCCAGGCCCCGCCCGCGGCAGCTCTCCCCCCCAGGAGCAGAAGAGCAGCAGCGAGGAAGAGGACGAGGTCAGGGGGAGGGGGGGGGCCTTGGCGGGGGGGGGGGGGGGATGCCGGGCACCGTTGGGGTACCCGGCATGGCGCTGACGTCATTCCTTTCGTCCTTCCAGGTCCAGATCACCGCTGTATCGCGATCTGTGCCGCCGCCTCCAACCCAGCCGCCCCAGCCTCCTCCTGCGCTTCCCCCCCTCCCCGCCTCCCCCCGGCCTCCCCCCGTGGCACTCTCCCAGCCTCCCCCTTTGCTGAGGCCCACCCTGCCGACCGCACCCATGCTGCACCGCCAGCCGCCCCCCCTGCAGCAAGGCCGCTTCCTGCAGCCCAGACTTTCGGTCAACCAGCTGCCGCCTCCGCTCATCCGGCCCGCGGGGTCTCGCCAGGCCGCGCAGCGGGGAGCCCAGCACCCCCCAACGCTGCTCAGCGGGACGGGCGAGCCACCCCCTCTGCCCTCCTTGGGGTCCCTCTGAAGCGGGGACCCCCTGCGCCAGCCTCGCTGCGGCCCCGGTGGGTGGGGTTCGGCAGGGAACAGTACGAACGGTACGGGCGTGGGTTGAATGCAGTGGGGAGAGGACGAAGAAGGGGGCAGCAGGAGAAAGAGAGGGGGGAGGGGCCTTTCCACTCCTGCCCTCCCCTCTCTCATAGTTTGGAAAGCTGGCAGCCCTGGATGGGGTGATGCTGGCATTGGGGCAGGGGGCTTGGCGGGTTAAAGAGAAAACAGTAGAAGATGTAGCTTTTGAATAGGACTGAATACATTCCCCCTGCTTGATGATGAGTTGAGGGGGAGGGGAGAAAAGCCGGGGAGGGGGCATGTCTCCCAATTTTGGGGATGGGGCAGGGGGGGGGAAGAGGCCGACTGCTTCCGAACCCGATATCCCCATTGCCGGAGAACGAGGACTTGGAATTTCTACGCGGACGACGAAAAAGCCCCGATCTGCTCTGTACTTACTCATCGGTTCTCCTCCTGGAAGCAGCGTGCGAGCGTCCCAGGGCCAGCTGTCGATCGCCTTAAGAGGAAGGAACAGGACCGTTTACGTGTCCCCCCCCTTCAAAAAAAAAACTTTCTTCGAACCTAGCAACCCCCACCCCTTCGCCAAGACAGCTCAGCGCTGACCGGCTCCTTTTAAGAGTCCAACGTGGCATTTTCAATAAAAGATATTTTGGTACAAGTTTTCGGGATGGTGCTTGATTGGAAAGTGGGGGGGGGGGGAGATAACCCCCAGATGCATCCTCTTTCCCCCCACCCCCCCATCATTTTGGAAAAACAGGCTTGGAGCGTGTGGTTCTTTTTTAAAAAAAATTCTTTGGCTTTAATAAGAAACCCGGCCAGTCTTCCCAGAGGTGTGACAGGTTCTCTGGCTGGAGCAGGAAGGAGTGTGCTTCCCCCCCCCCCAGGAAAGATTGCTGGTCCCCAAGTCCTGGGGGGTGGGGGGATTGGGTGGGCTGGGCTGCCCAAACTTCTGTCCCTTGGGTCAAGTTGGGATGGGGACCTCAAGTGGGGTGGGAGCAAATGTGGAACCAAAAATAGGAATCTTGACGCTAGAGAGGTGCTTTCTGGAAAGTTTTAATCTAGAACCTGTAAAACTACATCAAACGGCAGCATCCTTAGAGAGAGAGAAAGAGAGAGAGAGAGAAAGAAAGAGAGAGAAGGGAAGGAGGGGAGGGGAAGAGATGACCTCCCCCTCCCCAAAAGGACATGATCTTCTTTCTTTTTTAAAAAAAGGCAATGTTGTGATGAGAAATTAAACCCCCCCCCCCCCCCCAAAAAAAATAACCACTCACAAAAACCGAGGTATCAGTACAGTTATATACAAACCAGGCGTGTACATGTGTGTGTGTGTCAGTGAAGGGGATGCAGAGCCCCCTCCCCAGGACCAAAAAATACATTCTCAAGGGGGGCGGGGGGGGGGGGGGGCAAAGGTGACAACGAAAGAACCCCAGAGAGAGTGCCAAGCCAAAGAGAAGGCAAAGGGGCTGCAACCCAGGCCCCAGTCTTTTTTTTCCCTTTTCTTTCCTTTTCCTTGTTTTCTTCTTCTTCTTTTTGCTCTTGTGCTTTGGAAAGGGAAATAAAAATTGGGGAGGGGGGGGGGGTTGGAAGGAACAGGGGCCATGGGGGATTTCCCCCCCCCCCCCCCAGACCCCTTCTCTCTCCAGAAAGCCAAGGGCAGCAGCAGCAGCGTACCTGTGACGGGGCCTAAAGCTCTTCAACCCATCCTGAACATCCCAAAGGAATGTGGGATCATGCGTGTGTGTGTGTGTGTAAACCCCCCTGGCTGTGCTGCCCCCCCCCGCAAGCAGGCCTGTTCCACAGCCAGCTTCTGGTGTGTCTCCCTCCCCCCCCCCCCC